AATTTGTTCAGAAATATTGCGATGTTGTCCTTTTAAAAAGGGTTCTATACATTAACCATCACATGATTCACCGGGTACCAAGCCAAGGTCTTGACCTGGCAAGGTTCCCCATCATGGTCCTCCGATGTGCACTGAACATCCCGGAACATACATTGACAAGAGTGTACCAGGTGATTGCTTGGAGCCTCACTGTTGCTGGGTCTTAAGATCGACTCAACATTTTGTGCGTGTTTAAGAAGTTTGGGACAACATCACCATCAGCCCAGCCCAAGACCAGGCTCTAGCTTCGGGGGTGCATCCATCGACCGACTTCGAGGGACATCAACTGCCATCGTTGCATGCAAAACTGGCAGGAAGACCTATTGCAGGTGTGATTGGCCAAAACTGCATGCCCACCCACATGTTTGGGAATCGTTGTTTTAGGTTTCAGAGCCCTGGACAAAACCCGCCCATACAGCCTCTCCCGATCTCTTCCAGTATGCATAGGGCACGTGTCCTCAGGAGGAGCTGCGTACTGCGTTGAGTACAGAGGTGACTGGAAATGGCAACGGGAGTGTTTTGGTTTTCGAACCCATTGGGGTGCTGCTGATTTCTGCCATGTTTGCACGGCACTGGGGAAACACTGGCAATCCCTTGGACAGGACCCTTTGCTGGAGTCATTTTTGGTTTTGCTAGTTTACAAAATATGTGATCCTTTTGCAATTCTGTGATTGCAATATGCTTTGTAGCTCTTCCGAATCCATCCTAGGTGGACCCGATTTGGCAAAACCTTTCCTAGAAATCACCAGCAAATGCACTTGCGCATTGCTTCAAGCCACTTGGCGTATATGTGGGAATGCAGCCTCTCAGACCCCGTCCGATAGTGCTATTTGACCTCCGACAGCAAAAACGTAGGGGAAAGGTTGTTAGAAACCTTTTCCATGTTGACCTCAGGTACCCACACCCACTGATCACTGCACCAGGATTTGAAGTCAGCCAAGTACGCTGGTGCACGATGCATATTGTAAACCTAGGGATCTTCCAGAACTTCAACGGAAGTGTGGTATCGCTCTTGGTTTCTCATGGCCTCTTGGAGAACAATTCTAACATATGTGTTGTTGTCTTTGTTGGGGGTGAACCAGACCGTGTTTCCTTTTCTGTGCGGTTTTCTATCCCTCCATACGCATTCCTGCAGGATTCTTTGGTGGTGGTTCAGCCGATGATCACTTCCGTGTTCTGTCTGCGCGTTTCCGGCAATGGGCCAGGGTGCATCAATACCAGTAGCCAGAATTGATTTGGGTATGGTTTGTGATATTTTTGTTTAGAATTCCTCCAGCCCATATGTTCTTATGATGTTGTCACTGTGCCAAGGCATTCCCAAGGGTACATGAC